CCTAAGCCCCTAAACCCTAAAACCGCGTCCCGCAGGGCAGAACTCGGCCCGGTGATTCGGAAAACCGGCCATGGCTTTGGCGTTGGATGGTATGGACGCAGGGCCCTCTGGGTTGATGGGTTTAGCGTTTTAGAGTTTACGTTTGGGGGTTTAGGGGTTTAGGGTCTGGGGGGGTGGGGTTTAGGCTTGAGGGTTTGGAGTTTACGGTTCGGTCGTCGCAGATACTCTGCACGTGATCCCGGGACCGTCTGGTTGTGAAGGGGTCTACAGGACTCTCGCACTTCTTGATCGGTGCTGGGCTGGGTTTAGGGTTTAGGGTTTAGGGGCGCTGTCTTCGGCGTGTTCTCTAGAGTTGTCATCAAAGCCTAAACCCTAGACCCCAGCCGAGACCCTGAGCCAAAGCACTTTAGTCTGGAAGGCGTCGGTTCGCAGAGGGACTCAGATATGTTTCAATGTTGCATGCAATTCTATTCTATTCTATTCTAGTCTTTTCTCTTCAGTTATATTTCATTATATTTACTAGATGATACTCTATGTATTGAAGTATAGTTGGGCCCTGAGCACCGGATGCATTTTTTCTGGCCATATCCAGACTAGCACGCACTGCTGACTGTGAAAGATGCTGTATTGACGCTGCTGGACTTCATGCTCTTGCATTACCTTTGTGGTTTGATTCTCATAGTCTCATAGTCGAGCGATGGAGATACAAGCCTCGCATATTGCCGATCTATCTTCCTGGTCCTCGAGTAATCTGCATCCCACACCCTGAATCGGATGGCAAAGTGCGGCGATCCTGAAAACCGAATCGCCGCACTCGCTCGTGCTCCACATCCCTAGTGCCTGTAACCCCCCTAGACCCTGAACCGCAACACCCCAAGCCTTGCTTTTGTTTGCGATAAGCCCGATGACACTATGATATGTCTGAGTCCCAGTAATGTAGGCCTAAATGTATTGCTAATACTATTTTGGGGGTTCCTTGCTATAATTATGGTATAATGGGCCCCAAAACCCTATTCTAAGTGTTTAGGCCCCTAAACCCTAAACCCTTATAGTAGCCCGTATAGAACCCTTTAAGGAGCCCTGTAAAGGAACCCCCAAAACCCTATTCTAAGTATTTAGGCCCTAAACCCTAAACCCTAAACCCTAAACCCTAAACCCTAAACCCTAAACCCTATTCTAAGTATTTAGGCCCCAAGATTATTCCCAAGAGATCCTGTGCCTGGACTCCTTTTCTGAAGACCGAACTTTGGGGTCCCAATCGCTAAGCCCTTGCCTCCCAAACCCCACGGTTTAGGGTTTAGGGTTTAGGGTTTAGGGTTTAGGGTTTAGGGTTTAGGGTTCAGGGTTTAGGGTTTAGGGTTTAGGGTCGATACAACGAAAAAACACGAAGTTCCAAAGCGACGAGAGTACGACCGTTTATGATATCTTCAGGCCGACAGCCTCTTCAACACTCCGTGCTTAGGGTCCGCCCCTGTCGGCGCCACCGTAGTTTCTTCCAGTTTGTTTTCTGTCGGGTGTTTAGGGGTCAGAGTTAGATGAACAATACTAGTTAATCGACAATAGCACAATAGTGATAATGGTATTGATAAAGATTACAGGGTGATTAATAGTAACAAAGGAAGTGTCAGGTAATCTTGAAAGTGGTGAACACACCTTGTAAGATCGTAGGTTTTCTGCACCTGAACACAGTGCTTGTTGAAGAGATTATAGGGAACCTTGTTGTTCTGCTCCCGGCGTATGATCTGTATTCCGACATCGGGCCAAGAAGTCTCACTGCAGTGCAACATTATTGTTTATGGTATCTTTCCCGCTCTCCCAAACCTCTCCCAAAGTTCTCCCCAGCCTCTCCCCAAGCTCTCCCGAAGCTCTCACGAAGCTTAGGCATGCTGATGATGTTGACGAAGTGTGTGGTGATGATGGCTATGAGGCTGTGAGCATGAAGATGATGGTGATGCAGCGGATGATGACAATGATGACTGTGGTCGTGATGACATGATCAGGGTCATGGCGATGGTTGCCAGGACGAGGACGACGACTCACATGAGTATGATGATGACAAGTGTGACGATCTTCTTTATCATGACTTGCTGTGTGTGTTTCTGTGGTTGAGATCATGATGGCGAGGAATGTCATGATTAAAATTTGACCATCGTGCAGTGATTCTAGCGATCTTTGCCCATGTTAACGCTGAAATCGGTTTGAGTTACCGGTTTGACGATTGTGTACACGGTGGTGCCGAAAGTGAAGCTGCTGCCGCCGATGCTCGTGATGGTCCTGGTGCTGATGTTGGTCGTCATGACAGTCATCTTCGTCACGATCGTCAGGACCGCGGCAAAGGTAATCAGTGAATCAGGGTGGTAAGAAGGCTGTCAGTTGGTTGTTAATGTAGCAACTTCAGTAGCGGAAGCAGCAATGCTACGCGTAGTTTGTAGTTACCGGCCTGCTTGCTGAGTTGTTTAGGAAGCTTGCTCGAGTGTTGTCCTCCGCAGCCGCTTGCACGGGTCACACAAATCCCTCACCCGAGTACGCAGCTACGCCGCTCGGCGCGCACTGAGACGCTCCGGATGATGTTTAAGAACCCAAGAAGCACATAAGCATAAGCATTTTATAGGGATATCCCTACCTTATTGGGCTTCATTATAAGGGGGTTTATATGGGATATCCCTATCCTATTTTTTGCTTATGTGCTTTTTTGGGGCCCTAGATGTAGGGGTGCAGCTGTGTTCGTTGGTTTGGGGCCTCAGGCAGATGGCATCCGGCACCACGAACTTTGATGGTGCTGCATAGCAGAGAACCCCATTCTAATCATGATGGCTGGTAATTTGACCTCTGGCTTTAAAATAGTTTCAAAACGTTCGCGTTCCCGAGTGTGGTTGGTGGCTGCTCACTTTAGGGTCTACCAGTCTACCACCATGAGCAACATCACCATCTCAGTATACATTGTAGTCTTGCTGCGCTTATCAGAAGGTTTCCGAATGTGTAGTAGTATTTGGCGGTGGTGGTGGTGGTGGTAGTTAGTAGTAGTAGTAGTAGTAGTAGCAGCAGCAGCAGGTCTTGAGCTCATCAGACGAGGCATGGCTTCCTTTGCCGTGAGGTCCTCAGAGTTTGGCGCGTCTTGGGGGAGGGGTGCAGGGTTGAACCTTAAGGATGGATCCCGGTTTAGGGTTTAGGGTTTAGGGTTTAGGGTTAAGGGTTTAGGGTTTAGGGTTTAGGGTTTAGGCTTTTAAAGGGTCTACCTAGGGCTTCCTTCAAGGAGTTGTAGCGGGCTTTTTATGGTTTTGAAGGTTGGGTGCTCGGGTCTTTATGGACGATCCTGCGACTGTGGGCCCGAGCTTCGCATTTCACAGGGATTTTGACGTTGGGTTCTAGGGCCCACTTAACTCAGGGCTCCACATCGGCGTCATTTTTTGACTGAAATTCCCGCGGAGAGATTGCCCTCGATGGTCTCCCTGAGGTGGTTTAGGAAAGTTAGCGTTAAGTTCAGGGTCTAGTCATACGCACCGTGCTGCAAAGATTTTTGCCTGCTGCCTCCGTCGGGGGGCAAAAGGCCGAGGTGGAGATTTTTAGACAAAGCCAGAATTCCCTAAATCACAAAGTCCCGGAGCACTCGTCACAAAAACGTGTCCTGCCTCGTTTTGAATGCGTGCTGCCTCAACTTCTCCTTGGACCG